AAATTGCAAATTCCTCGCACATGTAACATCTCCATTGGGCCAAAATGCACCGATATCAATACCTCATATGTTACTTGGTTCCTCGAAAATTCTCCTCTTGGACTTAGCCTAAAAGTGTGGACACTTTTTAGCCTCCGGCGAAACCTAGAGTCTATACGGCTTCGCCGCACGACTAAAAATCAAAAGAAATTTAGTGTTGTTGAGATCTTTAGAGAATGCGCTGCCTTGTAGTAAAAGAAAAAGATGTATTATAGAACCTTGATTATTTGGCTCGATGTGTCAATGGCCGGAACAGTTAGTGAAACATTTAGATAATGGACTACTAAACTGGTATAAAATTAAGCATCATTTCATCAGAATTAGGGTAAAGGAGCAGGTAAAAATTTAAAAAACTGACACAAAGAAAAAATAAAACACTCCGCCTTACCTCATGAATCATTTCTACATGATGTTTAGTGGCTACAAATACGACAGTTAAACTTCCTGGTTTGATAACTTTCTTCAAAATGCATATTAGTGCAGCAAGTTTATCTTCGTCCCGACAGTTATAGAAATTGCACTCTAAAGTATCTGGAAGCTTATTATCAAGATCTAATCTGTGAATTAGAGCAAATAAAAAAATTCTAAGAATTTGATTAAGTTAAAAAGAGGACCTAGCACTGGGAGAAATCAACTCTAGGTTCTGACTATTACAACTCTGTCAACATAATTCATCCAAAAAGCTACAATAGACTTTTTTTGGTGTAAGTTTTCTAACAGAGTGCTCTTAGGCATCCATAAACAGTAGAAACATTGGATTGTGATTTCACCAGGTCCAAAACATTACAGAATTTTCAACACGAAAGTAATTAACACCCTGTCAGGGTGGTGGTACTAACGTATAAAACCAAAAGTAAACCAAGAAATAATTACTACACTGATGGTTTATTTATTTCAGATCTGTTGGTGCCCCATTAAATGAACTTTTAACAATTAAAAATTTAGTTTTTTTACTCCAATAATATTCTGAAATTTTTTCTCTGACAAAAATTTTGGATGATAGATGTAGGTCAGAGTAAAGATTTATTTCTCTGATTTTATTCTGAGATTATTTCAAAATAAATGAGAGGGAAAAAAAGCAATGTTGAAGACTAAATATGCTAGGAGCTACGGAAAAGTATTATGAAAGCAAAGCTTTGACAAAATTCAATTTAAAAAAATCTGAAACAAGTAATATCAATGAAATATTTTGGGCTGAGAACTTTTAATCAATAAACTTTCACAAAAAAAAAATTGTGTGCGTAGGTCAAGAGGGAGAAAGTAATGATATAGAAATAACCTCTTGTGAATTCTTACCGAATAAGAACTGGATTTGACAAACCAGCACGAGTAAAATGAACGATTACTTTTGGTAAAGTTGCTGAGAACAACATTGTCTGTCGAATGTCTGGTAATCGGTGAAGGATTTCTCTCATCTGCTCGCCGAAACCCATTTCAAATAGACTGCAGTGCAGAAAGGAAAAAAAGATTTAAACACGAGACAGAAAAACGATAAAAACTAAATTTCATCAAAATTAAAGGAACCATCCTGATCGACAAATTTTAGAACAAGAGGAACAATGATAAAACTATCTTGTTGGATTTTAGTACAGTAATAGTTTAAACACCCGCTAATTTAGTTGACAAGTAATGTTTTTCTTACTGTACCCTTGCTTTTTTCAAGCTATTCTACAGCTATCTCTTGGTTTTTAATGTTAATTATGCATTTCCTACGATCCGTTTTCCACAAATTATTAAGTAACAGAGGCAAAACTGTACTTCACTCCCTTACATTGCAGTGTAGGATTTTTACACGTTAAAATTTACTTCGGACAGCAATCACTAATCAACAAAAAAAAGCAAAATATTACCAAAATCAGAGCACGGACTATTCAAAAATGCATTCAACATTATAATATTTCTGAGGTGGCTGATAGGCAAATTCAAAACTTATTTATTCCTGTTTCTCAGTCATAGGCTGATCATCGGGTCATTACTTTGGATGCCTTCAAAACAATGCACCTCAGTAGAACATCAGTGAGAATCTGTATAAAATGTGCTCTTTCTAATTGAATCAGGACGTGCGAAAACCGCTAATGTCCTGATTCAATGTCCGTAATTTTTTGAGTTGATAATACTTTTCAGAGTTGGATGCAACCACCAGATCCGCGTTAATACTCATCTCCGTGTTATCTTAATCTCGAAACGAGTCTTTCATCACTTTTATGGCTGTAACAACTCTTTAGAGGTATTATCAACTCAAAAAAACTAAAGACAGGAAAGTCGGACATTAGCGGTTTTGAACGTCCCGATTCAATTGGCAATGAAGATTAAGGAAATACTTTCGAAAGATGACCTTGGCAAAATTCATATTCCGAACCGTTGGTAACCAAGACAACTGATTGGAAGACAGCCTGTAGATAAAAAGCTCTATTGATCTAAAAACAAGACAAAAATTCAAGGAAATATAAATAATCATCCCAAAAATACGTGGACTGCTGCTGCAATTAAAGGACTAAAATAATGCTGGATAAAATACTTTAGTTCTATTTTAAAATTATTGACCAAGCTATCGATCAATACCTGCATTATCTTAGTCTGTTGATGATGAACAAAATTGTAGTAATTTTAGGGAAAAATTTCATCAAACAAAAAAATACTTCGAAATTTTTCTCAGGAATGTATTTTAGGTTCCAAGATCATAAATTTTGATCTTGATTAAAACGGCAGCATTGGTCCGCTTATTTTTGGAACAACTTTTGAGTTCTACTAATTGAATTTCTTACCGATCAGCTTCATCAAAAACCACAAATCGAACATTTTTCAGACTTAAATTCATCTCGACAATCAAATGTAAAAATCTACCAGGAGTTGCGATGATACAGTCGGGTGAGGAGTGAATAGTGGAAAATTGCGTGTCCATTGAGTCTCCTCCCAAAATCAAAACGGCTCGTAAATCCGTAAACCGACCAAGGTCTTTGAAGAATTTAAATGTCTAGAGAAAAAAATAATTTCCAATTAATTATCATAGTAGCACAAAATAAGAGAGTGTAAATCAGTATTTTTTTATTTTATTTCTTACAGCCAGGAAAACTGGGCAGAGCCTACTTCAGCTGCTTATCCATACTGGTTTTTGAATTTTTAGGGAATACATGAAGCTAAAAGGATTTGTTTCAGCTCGTCACTTCTGTGAAAATTTGTCACCCTACCAGGGTTCCAACCCAAAAGTTACAGACCTGCAGTCAAAAATGCTGACCACTAGTACAAACTAGCTGACACCGACATAAATCTTCTTACTTAATAAAATACTTGCCGGTTAATTCAGTGCACCGCCTATCAGGTTACATCTAGATACATTTTGATAAGCTGTAAAAAAATTCTGCTAGCGACGAGAAGTTACGTGGAATTTTTTTAAAATACCCGAGAATAAATTTCAAATGGGGAAATAAGCTTTTATACAAATGAAACTTATGATGCCATAGACAGACAGCTTCCTTCATTAGACAGGCTGACAAAAGAAAGAAGTAAAAAAACCTATGGAATTTCTACCAACTGCTCTCCTGGCTGCCCTGCAGTTTATGCTACAGCTAACTCTTTCCTAAATGTGTTAGATGACACGACTGTTTCATGATCAATTTGTGTTAGATCCGAAATATTCATAATATATAGATAATTCATCCCCACCGCTTTTCCAACAGAGAGCTCTTCATACAGTCACTTTATCACAGGACTGTTGACTGGCAGGTTGCTTTTCCTTCGGAAACGATTCATTACCCTTCAAGGATCAAGGTTTAAAAACAAAAGCGAGTAATGATCAGTAGTGCCTATTAGAACTGGGGGAAGAAAAGAAGAGACAAAAGTCACATCAGTCTGGATGTATCAATCATCAGTTGGCCCATTGGTTAGCATGTAAATATCTGTTGAGTGGTGCAATTTTTGGATGTGACATTTGTCTCTCCTTTTCTTTCCCCAGTTCTAGTGGAGAGAACTCTGACTTAAGGCAAAGTAAACACGGTAAAATTTTTATCAGAGATGGCAATAAAAAGCACCTTTAATAAGTGAATCTGATGTCATCGCGAGAGAGAACACAATTACAATGAGCAATAATGATGTACACTTACCTGAATGGCTAATTCTCTTGTTGGGGATAAAACCAAAGCGCGAACTCCATTTGCACTATGCATCTTCAATTTTTCAAACATTGGAATAAGGAAACAGGCAGTTTTCCCACTTCCTGTTCGTGCCATAGCAACAACATCTTTACCATCTAACACTTGTGGAATGGCCTGTTAAAATAAAAATTGATCAGTGCGTTTTCATCGCCAACGAAGATAAAGTAAGTAAGGTAAAACTCTGAAATTTAGCGATTTAAATCTTTCAAGCACAATGACAAAAAAAAACTATGGTCTTTGTAAAACAACCCACTTTTGAATGGTAAGGGACCAAAAAAAACATTACTCTGTAAATGCTTGCAACTTACTTGATAATGCAGTCAAAGCAAAGAGTAAGATTTGATCCACTTCTTTAAAGTAGTCGGCAAAAATTAAAGATATTGGGCATTACTTGCACTCCCCAGGATTATCTAAAAATACATTTCCCCCAAAGTAATCACAAATTGATGTGATAAATTACCTGTCTTTGAATAGGTGTCGGAAAATTATAGCCTCTCTTGACGATTCCTCTTAGAACATTAGAGCTAAGACCCATTCCTTGAAAGCCCTGCGACTTCTTTTTCTTCTTGGCTCTGCTGCTGGACTTGGATGCTGGTTCATCCAGCTCAAAACCAACAACTTTTTCCTCCTTTGCAGACATCTGTGGAAATTCAAGAACCTATATTAGCCAAATTTATTGAGCTAAACAAAAATCTACTGATCAGATTATTTTTGAGCCAAAGTACTTTTTGTATGGTTACTTCATGCACAATCATTCCATACTACCATGTACATAACGGTGGACTATTGCAGTAGGTGACACATAAAGTTGTTTCACAATAGGAATCAATATGTTGATTAAAAAGGGCTGTTTTACTTGAAAATCTCTCTGTGAGAAGAAAGAAAAACCAATAACATACTTATTGTTCCCCTCTAAAATTAGAGGTGTTATAGGTGTGCCCTTCTATGTTCTAGAATGAAATGAAAAATTCCCTTAATGATTCCAAGTATTCGGGAAAAGTATGTACGTCTGTCCATGATAACCAAGCCGTAAACGCTCATTCCTTCCATGAAGATAAGCTGTTAATTTTGCAATATACAGTCTTACTTCAGGGAGTTATTTGACTTAAATAATTTGGTCAAAAAGAGAGAGTGAAAAGAATGTTCAAGAAAGGATTTCAACAAATCCAGCATTGACAAATTAAGCAATGAAATATATCGCTGCACACTCAATTCAGCAAAGTTTTAGGTATAGGGATTGGGCTCATGGGCAAGGCCGCTCGAATTAATTTTGTTCTACTTACAGTTGAAAGATTAGGAATACTTCTTCAAAAATTGCAATGAATCATTACGAAAAGAACTGGGATACAAGTAAATTTTCTTGGACAAATGACAAAATTGATTTCACACACGTGTGTACATATTTTGATGGAGAGGAGAAGAAGTCTGAAGAAGTTGAGTGAACAGATTGGCCCAGATATTCCGGACCACATTTCACCAAAAACTGCTGTTTGTCAAACCGCCGTCAACACCTACCAAGCGGCGAGTAGGCCTTCGGCCGTACTCGGCAATCTTCGTAGCCAATCAGGTTGCCGCTCGCCGCCCGTAATCTCAGTAATCTCGAAGATGGTTCGGCTCCTACACCTACACCACCCTACCCTACCCACCCTACATTTTTCAAATTTTGGCTGGCATTGGCATTCGGCCTGATTCTCCCTTCCTCTTTTCCGTAATTAATAACAATAAAAAATTCATTTAGTCATTGTTTAGCGGCACCTTGTCCAATTTGTGCCTAGAGCCTACAACTAGGCAAGTTTGGACGTTACCTTTTGAACATTTCATCCCTTCCCTTTGAATACTCTTCACATATCACATGGGACCTTTATCTGCATATTTACTTGGCTTTTTTCGTAAAGGATCTTTTAAGAAGTAAATTCTCTCGATAACTTATTGGGGATGGTCAAGTTACCAATTAGAGCCAACCATTCCATGCCATTATTATTACAGGACAATGTTTCTTTCCTATAATTTGGTAGGCACCGTAAGAATTATACGTAACCTCAGTATTTGATCCGTGCCTTAAAAAATGAGCCACTTGTGGCAGAACCATCTTGGTGATGTTCTATAGGAATTTTAACCTTATTCTATTTTTTCAGCAGACGAACCTCACATGGTTACTTGTAAAGTCTTGCTTCATTTTCCTTGAGTTCTACTTAGTTTAGTGCCAAACAACAAGAAAATTCATGGAGAAACATGCCTTAAAGGTGATAGTTCCCCCTCATACTTACTGTCAGAGTTCCGATGGAAAAAATTTTGTTGTCATAGGTAAATACGGTTTCCATTGTTTCTTCAGCTGCTAATAGACAACTATGCAGGTTTGCTGGAGAATTTGGTGACTGCTAGGATTGTTAATTGGTATCTCCGAAGTTTGGTTGTTATAGCTACACTTGAAGCATTGGCTTCAACGCAACGCAAAACCAGAACCTTGGAGAGACCAGAGAACATCCATAAGAAAGTAAGTGAGGAGCAAGGTATACCTATCATTGTACATCCATCTAGTTTTCACAACTACCGTTACTGGAGATTTAGGATTCAGATTTGCACATCAACCAATAAGTTTTTCGCCCCATCATCTTGAGATAGAGGCTGCCATGCAAGGCGCAGCCAGGTAGTCCAATGCTCATGGCAAGGCGCAACCAGGTGCCAGGTAGTCCAATGCTCATGCCACTCAATCAACACAAATATTATCCTAACTTACTACAAAATGGCTTGTTTCTTCTCTAACAATGGAACCGGAAAATGTTACTTTAGACGCGCAGGAAACTTCTTTGGTCGAGATGAAGAAAGAAACGTAAATGAAGAAATGAGTCCGGAACATCTCGACCGGTAGGTACAAGGTCCGTACAGGCCGCTTTGTTTACTTTAGGAGTCCGGAGTATCTCGCTCCAATTTCACTTGAAACCACAATGAACAGATCAACGCGGTAACTGATATCTGATTTAACGAAATGGATAGATGGATGCGGACGAAAGTTCTTTTGTCGAGGTGAAGAAACGATAACGCTGAGAAAATTAGTCTGGAACATCTCGACGAGATCTGCCAGATCTGCTTTGTTTATGTCCGGACTATGTCGCCGTTTGTTTGTTTACATTAGGAGCGAGTTTGACACCGATGACAGATTTTGGTCTTTGATGAGAATTTGGTCTGGAATATCTGGGCCAAACGCAAAAACCCTGTGGAACGCAAAAACCGAAGAGGTTTGAGATTTGAGAGGTTATGTTATTTTGTTGTTGGCTACGTCATGAGTAAGATTTAAAATGGCGGTACAAAGTTGTCAGCTTATGCTTTTAAATATATATTTTTTAAATTTGTGCATTTAAATTTTATCAAAATTTAGCAGCACTGAAGTTATCACCTTGACGTTGAAACGTATTATTTTTATCTTACCCCCATTCTTCGTTCTTTTCATCCCCCCTCTTCATTGAATTTTACGTTGATTTACGTCACCTACTCTACTATACTCTTCCCTCTTCACTTCTTCAGCTTCCTTGCTTGCTATGCAGTTATTGTATTGCACCATTGATTGCCATTGTGAATTGTGCATCATCTTTCAGTCTATTCCATTGTCCGTGTATCTGTGTACGTGTAGTAAGACTGTTATTACCTACAGAGATTTGTTGTGTGCATCCCCGTTTCAGCTCAAAGGTACTTCATTTTCATGTACTTACTCTTATGATTCTATTTCTCTTTGGTTTTATGTGTCTTCGTCCAATGTCCTTGGCATCCAATAAGGATGTAATTCAAACAAGTGTCCACCAGGCCTAGATGACCCAATGAATGAGGAAATCATGAGATTATTATCAACCTAAGCTTTAGCATCTTTTTTGACTTTTACCTAAATTAGTGCAGCTTTATCTGTTCAAGTACGGTTCAAGTACCGAAGTGTGCAGAGGGCACCATGAGTGAGTTTGTGGAGCAGTCCAATCTCTGAAATTTCTCCGCACCCATAGGTACATCCCTTGCAATGCTTTACATTCTTCAAGGAGAGAGCATTCAGTGTATCAATTATTTTGCTTCTTTTAACCTAGTATGAAAGTAAAGCAAGTGTAAAGGTGTGCTCTTAGTACAAGATAAGATACGGAAAGGTTCATCGTCAAAATATTACAATTAAAAATTATGACAAAGTCACAGACATAGAATAATGATGCTTCACAATCAGAAGCAAAACTCCCGTAAGAACGCGCTGAAGCAAACCCCGCACTTGCTTACTATGATGCCACGTTGTGCGTTCTTGAAATGAGTGCTGCGGGACGTTTAAATTTCGAACCGAATCGGAGACCCTGATCGCACGGGCACGCATTTGCCAAATGTAAACAGTACTGCACTAAATATTCTTCTTCTTCGCTTCAACTTTCTATCCCAGTTTCGCTTGTGATTGCGAAGCATTATTATTCTATGGTCACAGATTCAGCTTCTGAGTAAACAACAAACATTAATAATGTATAATAACAGTATTTGATTAAGTGTATTCCTAAGGATGTACATCCTCAAAAATTCATTGAACGCCATAGTATGCCTTGTCCGTCAGAAGGACTTTTAAGGCACATTCAAGTAAAATAGATTCAGTCATAAATCTGATTTCTTCTGGAACGCGGTTGTACATTTTTATGCATTGCTGTTTAGCATTTTTTTCATTGGATTCTACAGATGAAATGAACATCCGAATTTCTTTAACCTTCAAAATCCCGATTAAATCTATAAAACTGCATATTATTGTTGACAACTTCATATACTATGCTGGAATATCGACATCATATTGCACTGACCTTTGCCATGGGATTAACAATCCTCAAGTTGCAACCATCTCCCTTATTTTCTCCATGCCCCCCCCCCCCCTATTAGGAAGCGAAATCAACCTCATCCAAACAACCTAGTATCTCAGAATAGAACCATTGGGTATCGAATTATTTAACCTCTTGATCAGTCTATTTCAAGCATTCACTAACTTCTAAGAGTTCATTCTTCATCTAAGTAAGAACTTTTATGATTCTGTCAAAAAATGATTTTCATGCAGAAGAAAAAGGGACTTTCACTGGAGAAACTGTTATTTTGACCTTCAAAGTTTTCTCACTTCCTCTCTAAATTTCATTGTTTTTCAATTTTCATATTTCATATTTCAATTTTTTTCTCTTTTTAAATATTTCAGAGTCCTGCCTCTCACGAAGTCTTGAACCAATAATCATTCCTGGCCAGGCATCTGATTCATCAATCGAGAGGATCCATCATCCAGCTGATCAATTCTTTATTCAAGTGGTCTAAGTATCAACAATCAACTATTTATTCAAGTTGTTCAGTTATCAAAAGCTAAGGCACACCTTTCTCAACTTGAATTCGATGGGTTTAATCATCACGACAATCAGATGTCTACCTTGGATCATTCAGGGTGTTTCTTTATTCAAGCAGCCCCTTCATCCAAAACTGTGGAAATTAACAAGTTACCTTTCACACACATGTGTAGCGAACATTTGTGTCAAAATGGGAGATTGATTCCTTTATTGTCTTCTCCTTATCGGTTGACTAATTCTTTTATTCAAGTGATTTTGCTCTTATGGGCCCCATATGAAGTATCATAGTGTATAAACATTGTCGGACAGTTTATTTTCCTGAACTTGAAGTTGTATTATGTGATGAATGTGTTTATGTAACGTAGTTTTAAGCAGGACGCACCAATGTTGGTACCGTGATGTCGTTTCATCATGCACTTTCTATATGTAGCATATCTAAATCACCCACAAATCCATTGGCACATTATTTTTAAGTTTAAATAAGGTGGTTCCCCTCTTTATGATTCTGAGCTCTCTAATACCTCAGCTGGATGTTTTAGGCAGCTAAGTTGTATTTTTTTATCTAAAATTTCATGTAATACTCTGTCAACATGGCACTCTTGACTGAAAAATTGTCGCTGTGGTAATGACGACCTATTAGGGAAAAAATTTTTTGCACCTACTTTAGGCAATGTTCTCTCCTGGATAAGGTCACGTACCATTAAGTAAAAAGGCACTAGATCAGCTAACAAATACATTTTATTGCCATTTTACAATATGTATTTTACCTAGGAGAAAGTTACTTTAAATAATGAATTGACAGCCATAAGCTGGCCAAAAATTCGTTTTTTGCCAAAGTATGTTTTATAACTTTTTCATTCACTAATTTCAGCCTATTGAGGAGAAGCTGTATTTTTGTCTCATGCATCTGTCCTTAGTGTGTTTCAATTTCTCATTTTTTATGCAACTCAAATAAAAGTAACCTTTATACCACTGGAAAACGTGTCCTTTTTTTGATTTATTCTGTCTGACAGAAAATGTTCCTAAGGTACCCAGATGTTAACTAAGACCTGAAGTAAGATTTTCAATTTGGCCTGACCAGGATCTTCGGTTGGTGAAAATAGGATTTCTAGTTTG